GCTGGAATGACTTGGGAATACAGATAAAAAACTATTCCAGCTATCGAATTCTAGTAAAATAACCTTGGGGATTTCTCCGATCAAGATAAACCTGAGCCACTCGATCCAATTTATCTCATGAACATTTAGATTTTATGTTGGATTATTGTGGACGTGTTCCTCGACGCCTGACGAAAAAAACATCTGAAAGATATGAAGGGAGCTATCGACAAGTGATTAGTACTCGAACTATAATATATTACCACGAAAATCTGATCAAGCTCCGTCATACCCTTTCTCTTGGGCCAAACCCACTGATATTATTTGACGTCCGCAACAACGAATGAAAGAATATCATAAATACGGCAAAAATTTCATCCATGGACAAATCCAAAGTGTGATATGCCTAATAATTCTTTGGAAGAAATCCCGGAAGAGCTACATGAAGATTGGTGGTCTAAAATGGAGAGTATAATCGACTTTGGGGATAATTTTATAGATCCTACGACTGATGTAGGAAAAGCCGATATTGGCTTCCTTCAGGACAATGAATATACAAATTGATATTGTGAAGAATATTTAGCCAAGGGGAAACTTTATCTATCAATTTGTGCATAATACGGATACTGAGCTCCTGCATGCGAAATGTACGGAATCAAGGGACGTTGCTCGACGAAGTATTTCTGCACCTACTTTGAACAGTGTACGTATATGTTCATCATGAAAGAATAAAAGGGAACGATTAAGAAGCTTCGTGATACTTGAAACTTAATAACATTGTACAATGAATGCAACGAAATAGGAAAAGTAATTTTAGCAAGATACATCACCGAATCCGATGTGAAAGAAGAGATAGATCGAAACGACTACTCGTGTTCGGAGGACAGAATTCGATAACTGAGGTAGTTTTTTATCTGTATTCCCAAGTCATTCCAGCATATGAATTTACCAATCTGGTAAATGTGGCGTTTATTGTTGCTGTTACCGTGGAAATTGATGCTTTTGTTACGGATCCAGCAACAGTTGGTGTTTCAAGAACAAAGAAGAAAAGAAGGAGAGCAAAAGGGAAAAGTTTCCCCTACAAAGAAAGACGCAAAATTACTAACGAAGATAATAAAGAGAAGATACCTGAGTGAGCTCCTCTGACTGACGTGGGATTTGATATATGATACCCGACAAAACAATCGTTAGGATTGGTCCACACCAGACTATAATGATCGATTTATTTATTGCCTTTGAAGTTCCTGTAGGGACCACGTGTCAGTTATCGTTCTGATTATCTCTAGCGAAAAAAGAGATCGAGGTAAAAGGGGGAACGATCGATACTGGATACACTGGCAATATCAGAATATTATTGTATAACAATTTGGAAAGAACCTACTATTTTGAACCTAATGAGCGTATCGCGCAGACGGTATTCCTCCAGTTAGCCGATGTCTCCAGATTACAGCTGATAAAGATCAAAGATGAGCTCAGCAGATTCTGGATCAGATATACAGCAAGAACAAGCTGTAGATAAACTTAAGGAAAATTTTTATGTCGTTAAATTTTAATATCAATATAGTTGTGTAATTTGTAATCTCAAACATGTGCAAATACACTTTTAACTCAAATTTAATAATAAAATAAAATTAAATTACCTTATATAATGTGCGTCTAAATTATAGTTATCAATTTATTTGGTGTAAATTAAATAGCTTTTCAAAAAGCCTTATCTTTTTCATATGCATGTACAGCTTTTATTATTTGGATAAGATCCACATGTTGTGCTCAATTTAAACTCGTATCATTTATCGTTATCGTTATGAATCCTGCTTATAGTTTGGCGAATGTGTTTTTAATTAATGATTGTAGTAAATGTCACAACTGTCAAAAAATTCTGTACTGACTGTTTCAAATATCACATGAATTATCTTGTGGAGATAATATTAATAATTAATATAAAATATTTGAATGGATTCCATTTGAAAGATTTATTACCAACATTGAATATCTTGCAAAGGATGTTTTGAATCAATTTAAAAAGCGACCTGGTTGGATGGAATGGATATTATTATGAGCATTGAGATCATAAAAAATAAATTTAAACGATGGGAAAAAGTTGTGTTGAAATCACTACACAATTCAAAATAAATTACTCCAGAGTTTACAAAAGAGGTATATTTTTGCTTTTGATTAGACTGCGTATTATATTGATTAATAACAAAAAACTCACAAAAATAGCAGAAAATGGTGACTTATAAATACACATAATACACGTACAATACCCGCAGAAAGTATCGTCCGATTTGAAATTATATAGTAAAATATATATAAAAATTTTTTTCATGATTTTATAATTAAAAACAGTTCTTGCATCTTAAGTCTCCCACGGCTAGGGATCAATTTTTGAAAACTTTAATTGATTAACTTTACAATGGTATAATGGTTGGAAATAATCACTAAAAGAATATGAATGTGTATATAGCTTGAAATATTCCATTTTTTATATATTTTACTATATAATTTTGAATCAGGCAGTACTTCTGTGGGTATTGTGCATGTATATTGAATTCCAATTACGAAAAATTTATTTATATTGAAAATTATCAAATTCTAACAAAAATTCACGAAGAAAATTTGTTCATCATCCCGCCGACTTTGGACTTAGCATTCCAACAAGTATAGAAAAACCTAACTACGAAATTTGTGGCGTACTTCCTTATATGAATTCGCGATGCTAAATGGAAAGTCAAACAATACTGCTATAGGTATTTATAGTTTTGGAATGATTGTGTGACGATGTTATTACACTTCTCCAATATCCCAATAACAACATTTCATAACCCAACATAAATACCAACATTACATGAAAGTTCATAAAGCAACAAACATATAATAATGACAAAAAAAGTAAATATATATGTATTTGAATTTTAAACATTTCCTTATCGCAACGTTCAATCTGACACAAGCAATCTATTTCTTGTTCTGTTTCTCCTTCATCCTTTTCTACAAATAACACCTCTTCTGTTGCATCTTCCTCCACAACTGTTCATCACAAAAAAAGAAAAAAAAAGACAACTTTATCGAAAAAAAATGTGCCAATGCAAGTTACACTCAATTATTTTGAGGAACCAACTGATCAACTGTAAATTGCGCTTTGCAAAATTTGCATTCGCAATTTTTCTGGTACAGAAAGCAAATCATATTATATACTACTCATGGCTGTATTTCAATCTTATTCTTCATCTTGGGGAGCATGATATCATGAAGAATAATTATTATCAATATTTGGATGCTAAAAATGAGGTTTGTGTATAAGAATTTGAATAAATATATTGTAAATTTAATATTTGGATATTAATTAAAGAAATTTTAAATAGTTCATTATAATAGCCAATTACTGAATATCTCAAGCCCGCATACCAGCACTTATCAAATAAGCTTTTTCATCTATTAATTACCTTTATTATATATGAGTTTAAGCTCCATTCAGGTTGGTTTGGATCAGATATGAGAACAATCTGTTATTGACCGGATTGGTTTAATTCAAACCCGAACTGACCCGAATCGATAAAATTTGGTTTGGATTAGATTTCGGATTGATCTAATAATTAATGAGAATTACTTAAAGGCTAGCCATATTATTATTTTCAATTTTTCGATCCTGGGAATTTTGCTTAATTTTCTGAATTATTGATTGCTAGTCTCTTTCCGATCTGTTAAATCAGCAAAGGAAGTCTGATTATTCTTTTCATTAGCATGAAAATTTCTCTCATTGCGTCTGAGAATTCATATTCTTCCCAAAATAATCATCTGTATATGAACATCTTATGAGACTTTGCCATACATCTCACTTTAACAAAAAAAAGAAAATAAAAAAATAAATATATAATGATAACAATATAATAATTAAATTTATTTAACAATTATAAGTTTCTTTTAATTAACATAATAATTTGATCATCAAATTATCCAAAAAACAATAATATTTTTGATTACTAAAAAACTTATTTTATAAAACTTGTAAAATAAAAAGAAAACTTACAAATTAGAATCTTAATAAATTTTTATTGCTCATATTAATATTAATAATATTATATAATCTCACTTTTCTCATTTTTATTATCATTATCTATCTTTTTAAACATATATATATCATAATTAAATTTGGTTTTAAATTATAATATTTATGAAATATTAAATCTTAATTATCAGAAAAAATATATATAATTGTGATTCTTGTAATTATTAAATAAAATAGCAAGATATAAATAATATATAAAATATATATGATATATATATATATATATATATATATATATACAAATCTTGAATAGCAAGATTAATTTTGTTAAATTCAGATATTTAATTTGTGAAATCTATATAATATAAAGATATAAAGTTTAGTAAATAAGAATATAAAATTATTTATTATATTAAAATATTATAAATCTTATATAAATCAGCTAGAGATTCTTTTAGATATATATAAATCTCAATTTATATTTATTATATAATTTTATACTTTTAAAAATAAGTAATAAGATTATCTCATATCTCATTTATTTGAACTATAATTTATTTAATCAAAAGATATATAAGAGAATTTCATACATTAATTATTTATTCTTATATAATTTTTATAATCTTTTTATTATATAATATATTTTAATAAGATATTTATACAAAAAATCATATTAAGAATAAATAGATTTATTTAATTTTATAAATTTATATTTATTTTATTAATATTAAATAAATTAGTAATTATAGAACAAAAAGAAAGTATCTTTAAATAATTAATTTAAAAATATATAAATTATTAATATATATTACTTATATAATAATATGATTCAATATAAAAAGATTAAAATATTAGATATATAATGGCCATCAAAAGTAATATAATACTTAAATTTTTTACTAATTATAAATAAAATATATGATTTTCTTTACATATAAAAGTTTTTAATTTTACTAACAAATATTTTTCAAAAAATAACTAAAGTTCTCTAGTTTAACATATATTTTTTTCAGATTTTTTGGATTTTTACCAGTAACTTCTAATTGAATATGAAGTCAATTAATTTTTACTAATTAATAATTAATAAAAATTAATTAACTTCATATATAATTAGAAGAAGTTACCAATAAAAAATCTGAAAAAAATATATGTAAACTAGAGAATTTTAGCTATTTTTTGAAATAAAAATAAAAAATATTTATTAATAAAATTAAAAACTTTTATATATAAGAAAAATTATATATTTTACTAATTATAATTAATAAAAAATTTAAGTATTACATTACTTTTAATAGCTGCTATATATGTATCTTTTCTTATTAATTTTTTTATTTTTCTTTTTTTAATTATTAAATTCACTTTCTTTTAAAATTACTTTTTAAACTTCTTAAATTTTTCTTTTTCTAAAATAATATTTTTTTCTTAAACTAATTTTCTTTTTTTATTTTATATTTTAAAGTTTATAAGTTCTCTTTTTTTAATATGATATTTATAAAAAATTAAATAATTAATTATTTAAAACTATTTATATTATTATCTAATAAATTGATTATGAAAAATCTACTAAGTAAATTATAAGACTATATAATTTAATTTCTAATTAATTTTTGTTAATTATAATTTATTAATTATTACTTTAATTTTTTGTTAAGATAATTAAGTTTTTCAAATTATATTACTAGTTTCTATCTAAAAAGATAATCTATTAATTATAGTATTATAATTTTATTAATTAATTTAATAATCTTATAAAAGATTTACAAGAATTTAGAATAGATTAATAATAATTTTATTATGAAAGAATATAATAATTTATTTTAAGAATTAATAAATTTTATTTTATTTTTAGTAAATTTTATTACAAATATTAATATATTTTTTAACTTTATATTTAGTTCTATTAAACTTATTTTTTTATTCTAAAATCTTTATTTATGATTGAATTTTCTTTTACTTTTTTCATTACAATTCTACTCTTATCATGATGTCAAGACTAATAAATTATTTTTTGTTTTGATTTATTAGTTAGCATCTTATTGATATATTTTTATATATTTAAAATTTATTAATAATGGCTTTGATATATTATTATATCTGGTTGTATGTTACATAATAACATGCTTAGAAATTAAATAATGTGACTTTATTTATTATTCAACCAATAAACAACAAATTTGATTGGTCGATTATAGATCACGTTATTTGTCTCATTCATCATTAGGGATAAAAATGAGAGTTTTCAAATGATATCTAGTCAAAAATGAGTAATTATTTTTAAAAAAGAGAGCCACTATTTTGTTACTGAATATATTTACTGCATTATTTACGCGAAAAGCAAGAATCATAATGTAATGTAGACAATAACGTTGACCTGTGGCTAATTACATCAGTATGAAATTAAGGATATCGAATTTTATATCATTATGTTAACATTATGAGGTATAAATGGTTTGTTCAAATTGAAGCTATATAAATACCGGCCTGGTACGAAATCCCGAAGATAGCCTGAAAGCTCGAAATCATGAATGATCGAAATCCCGAATGAACGTCATCTAGATTAACCAAAGCCGAAAAAGATCGAAATCCCGAATAAACGACATCCCGAATAACGAAATCCCAAATGCATGAAATACTAAAATTATCACGGGGTGGCGTTCATTCGGGATTTCGTTATTCGGGGTTTCGACCGCAGCAAACCAAATTGGCTCACTCAGAAAGAAGAGTGAAAAACGAGCACAATCCAATACAGGTCTAGCATATTATTTTGGACAGTTTTAAATATAAATACCAAGTAAATATTAAAATAAAAATAAAAATTTAATGATATATGGTTTTTCAATTTGCTACTAAAAATCGATTCTATGCATTAGTAAAGTAGTATCGTAATTTCTTTATTACATATAAACTGCCTCCAAGAATGGGCTATTCACTATTTTCAGTCCAAAATCAGGTGCAAAAAGTGTATAAACTTATCCAAAAAACAAGCTACCCTTTTTTCAAGCCTAAATTTTTTGAAGAATTATGGTAGTATTACTAGTAACAAAATTTTATTTGTATTTGTGTCTATGAACAAGTTTACTTAGTGCTTAAGAATCGGTTTGCTTAGTAAGAAATTCATGCTTTTTTATTAAAAGCTTAAATTCAAGAATTTTTTAAACAAATTTTAATACATCTCACAATAATATGCTAGGTCAATTGATAGTCAATTGATCAAGAATTAAGAAAATTAAAGTTTTTTTGCAATAATATGACGAGCTGGAATAGTAGCTTTCATATTTCGAGCCTCATATCTGGCAAGCGCGACAAGACCATCGTAAGTATCTTCATTAATGTTCATGTACGGACAAAGATATGGCTTAATCGCTATATACCCTTGCTCCATATCTTGAAAAGACTAAAGATTACAAGAAACCTGAATTAAGTAAAGAAAGTATAAATTCGAATAAACAAACAATAAATAGTTTAAAGATTACCATTTCGCCTGAAGTTTCTGTCCATTTTCCTATTGGTAGTGATCGAGCTTCGTTTCTTATAATTTCAACTTTTCCGGAACTTAATAACATTTGTTCGATTCGATCTGTTATTAATCCATCGATACCGCGTGCATTAAGCATTGAAAGCACTGATAATAAAATGAATTATTATCTAATAATTATTTCTTTGTTGATGAATCAAAATAAAATAAAAAACTTACATGAATTATTCAAATATGTAGTATGTTTTCCAGCATTCTCGGTCATAACATCCAATTCAATCATCTCAATATATCCACCAGGTCTAGTTACACGAATAATCTCATTTATCAAAAGATTCCATTCTTCATTATTCAAATACGCGACCCAGAATCGCGAATGCACGTATGAAAAAGTGTCTTTAGGAAAATTTATGCCTTCTAAAAGATTAGCATGACTAAAAACAGCATTAGGCGGCAGTGTGCAATCTTGTAACGGTTGTTTGTCGATTCCTGTGAATAGAGATCGAGGATAAAGATTAGCCATATCAATAAGCCAAGTTCCGTGCATCCCACATCCTATGTCTAAAGCGAGCGCCCCCTCTGTCAAGCATTCATGAATGGGTGTATATGCGGTGTTGGAGGTTGATGTATCATGCATCGTTTTCCTTTTATTCTTCGACCGAATCCTTTTCATGTCGAGTTTTGCTATGAGATGTTGTGGATTGAAGAGACCCTCTGTTGTCATCGTCGTCGTTGGTGGTAACGGTGATGACGATAATTTTGATGACGAACTTATTTGAGGTATTGCTTTTTTTTGAGCATTATTGCTATAGCGCTGAATTTTTGAAAGTGCTAATCCCATTTTTAGAGAATATTTATAAAATTAAATAACTCTTTTTTAAAGTTATACTATAAATAAATGTTATTTGCGTCTATTAGTATTTTGAAATGCTTTACAGAAAAAGAAACAGGCGGAACTTGATGAAACTAATATAGTAATACACTTGTGACAACAAAGAGAAATGAAAATTCATAAACCGAAATTTATTAAAGAATTGTCTAGATGTACTTATTCATCCCCCCACATGCATAACAAAAACAATAAGAATAAACAAATTTTATTACAACTACAAAAAATCGGAAAATCCCCCCGCTTTACATAATGTACTCAAACACACATGGAGAGCAAACAGCAAGGCAACAGCAACAAACACTCGTAGTTTTTATATACATACACACGCTCTTTTTCCTTTCGATATAATAATGGGTTTGTTCTTTTTACAAGAAAATTTCCTCGTATAGGGCAGAAAATCTCCTGTATAACGATATGGATGGTTGTTGAGTTACTTATTTAGAGTTTTTGCTGTGTTTTTGATTTTCTGCATTTAATAAATGCAATGCAATAACACTACCTCTAGTTTTTCATTATCTTTTATCACAGAATTTTTTAATGATCGACATAAAACATAGCATAATGGTAATGATAACGCGCATAAAATTTAAAATTACATGTACATGTACCTGTATCAGTGGTGAGAGTTTAACAAATCCTTGTGACACATATATGTCTCATTCTCGGTTTTTAAAATTCTCATTGAATGATTGGGTGCTTTAAATGCTTCAAATAAAATAAAACGTCCCATACTTTTTTGTTTTTAAATCATATGCTAACGTTAAAATTACATTAAACATGATGATGCATTATAAGTTCTCGACGCCAATTAGATTTAAACAATTATTAATTACAAGTTGGGTTTGGAATTTTAGCTAATCATTAATAAATCTCTAATCAAATTAACAATTATGATTAAGGATTCATTGTTAAATGTACACATAAATTATTAATTCTGTATTGAGTGAAATGACAGGACTATTTTATGTCTATTCTAGTTTCAAATAAAAAATTACATATGTCCGGCAATCTATAAAAAAATACCCGAGTTTTAACAGGTTCAAGCCAGTTTTTTAAGTTCTGAAAACACCTAGAGTTAAAAAAATTTCTAGGGTAAAATCTGATGTCACATGGCGAAATTTTGGAACAAAATAAACTTATTGCATTTAATTCACATTAATTAAATTCTCGTAGTTTTGATGAACTTAATGATGGTAATTTTTCCAAAATAAGTTTTCTATGATGAAATATCTTTTTTGAAATTGTTAAATTAAAATTCATCTTTGCAAAAAAATCTAATTTAAAATTAAATATCTCATAGTTTACCACATAAAAATTAATGAAAATTTGACGAGTTCACCATATCTTAGGAAATATTGGCCAATTTTTGTTTGATTTAATTTAGTAATTAAAATCAAGAAAATCATGTACTTTATTATATTACTTAATTAACATTGTATAATAGTTATAACTATTAACCAACTCTAAAATATAGATAAATCAATATTAATATTAATATAATTCATCATATTCTTATTCTTAAAGTATGAATTAAAAGAAAAAAAATTTCTACTTTCAAAATAACATTCTATTATTTAATCTTTGCAATAAACTATTAAAATTTATTTATTGATAATTTAAAAAAGATAATCTGATTAGATAAAAATAAATTTTAGTTATTTAATAAATATTATTAATAATATAATGAAAAGTATATTTATAAAGTTAATAATGAAATTTAATAATGAAAATATAATAATATAGTAATATTTTACTTAAAAAATCTCTATAAAATTGATAATAATATAAATATAAATCTTTATAAATAAATTTTATTTGAGAATCTTTTAAAAATTATAAGCTTAAAAAATCTAAATTTATATTTTAATATAATAATTTCAAATACAAAATATTAATTATTTGTAAAAGTTAAAATTAATATTCTTAATTAATTTATTAATTTTTGAATTTTAATTTTATTAAATACTAATAAAATAAATATTAAATAATAATATTTAATAAAGAAATATATAAAAGATTTATAATAAATTTGAAAGATTAATATTAAAATATATTATAATTTAGTTTAAAAAGATTTATATCTCAGATAAATATTAATAAATTATTTTTTTAAAATAAGATTTTAATTCTATTTTATTTAATTAAGTTATTAAATATTAGAATTTATTTAAATATAAAAATTTTTATTATATATTATATATCTTTTATAAAAAAATTTTTATAATAATAACTTTTTGAATTATTACTTCTCAATAAAATTTAATTAAAATTAATATAAAAATTATATAATAAATAATTTAATTACTAAAATTTATTTAAATCTTAATTTTTTTATTACAACTAATTTAATTTTTATAAAATTTAAAATATTTATTTATTAAATTTAAAATAATCTATTTATATAAATTAAAATTCTAATATTACAAAAAAAATAATTTTATTTTAATTTTTTTAAAAAATATTACTTTATTTATTCTTAAATTAAAATATAATAAAATAATTAAAATAATATAAAAAGCTAATTTAAATTATTTTTTATTTAATATAAAATTATAAAAATTAATTAAAATTTAAATAATTTTTGTTAGAAATAATTATTAATTTTTATATTAAGATATAAATCTTTTTATATCTAATTATATAAATTAATTAAAAATTTATTATAAAAATTTATAATATAATTTATATTAAGAAAAAATATATAAAATAATAAATTTATTTAAAAATTTTATAAATATGTATATAAGTTTTTTATTTAAATTTATATAATTATTAAATTAATTATTATTATATAATAAAATTAAAAAATTAAAAAATTTATTAATAAATTATATTTAATTAATAATTTTATAATTAATTAAATTTTTAATTTAAATAATTATTTATATTTATAAAATTTAATTTATAAAATTTATTATTATTATATTTATAATTAATAAAAAATTATAATTAAAAAATTTATTTAAGTAATTTTATAATTATAAAAGTTATTATATTTATTAATTCTATTTAAAACTGATATTTTTATAATTAATTATATAATTATTAAAAATATTTTATAAGATCTTTATATAATAAAATTATACTTTATCTTATAAATTTTTACTATGTTATATACTATATCATATATAACTTATTATATTATAATTATCTTATTTTATCAAGAAAAGTTATATAATATAATTAATTAATGATCCAATAATAGATAAAAATATTACAACAAGAAAGATTCTTATATCTTAGTCCAAACTTTAAAAATCTTTTTATATATAAAATTCTTTCTAGTTATATGAAATTAATAAATAAGATTGAAAAAAAAGCAAAAATATCTCAAAAATATATATATAAAAAAATATAAAGTTTCTAACTAGATAAATAACTTTTAAAGAGTAAGAATACTGATTTGAAATATAAATATCTATTATATCTTATAACATTACTTTTTAGAATACAACTAGCAATTCTTTTTTTTATTTCTTTTAAATTACATTCAAACTGTAATTAACAAAAAGTATTTTTGCAGCTTTTTTAACATCTTACTTTTATCATTTATATTATAATATACAGTCCTTTTCTATTTTTTTTCTGTTATTTTTATTGATTTTTATTTAGTTGATACTTATAATTATAATCAGAATTATTATTATAAGTTTGACTAATTCTCTCACCTTCATATTCTTAAGTTATTCTGTTATTATTATCTTACTAGTCTTTTATAATCTATACACTAACCTCTTTTTGTTTTTAACTATTTTGTAAGCTATTTCCTTTATCAAAATTATTACTTTATTAGTAGCCATCTCTTATCTTAAACCTGCTATATAAGCTATAATCTAATTATTAATTTGCTTTATACTTAATATTTCTTCTATAGTAATTTTATTTTTTATTACTAGTATTTCTAATTTCTTTATCATTTTCATGACTATTATATAATTTATTTTATTATATTACCTATTAAAAAAAATTCTTCAAGATAATATCTAACTTTTTATATTATATATTTATTCATATTATATTTTTCTAATTTTTGATTATTTTTTAAAGTCTATTCTAATAGCAAAGAAAATATTATATCAACTAAATTACTAGTTAAAAATTTTTTATTTTCTAAAAGTATGGTAATATTAGTAAGACTTTGAGTAATTGGTAACTGATTTCTAATTTATCTATCATATTTTATATTAAATCTAAATAAATCAATTAATCTTGATCAAAATTTTAGATTTATGAAAATTATGTATATATTATTATAATATTTTTTTTATATGTTATTAAAATTATTCAAGTTTTTTATAGACAAAAATAAATTGATATCTCAGATTCTGACTTATGGATAGATTTTTCTATTAGCTTTATAATTTCTAATAATATATATATTTTCTATTTTCTAATATTAGAAAGCATTCTAATTTTTATAAATTCTGCAAGATCATCTTCTATTGACTATTATTAATAGAAATAATTTATAATTTCTTTTATTATTTTAACTGGTACATGATCTCTCTTTAATTTAAGATATATTATAATAGTTTTCACTAAATTTTATATCACTTTCATAATTTTCTTATCAGTATCCAGATTATAATTAATCTATATATATTATATAATAGTATATAATATCTATAGATATAATAATTAGTTAATATTTATTCTTATAATAATTATTTTATTGATTGACTTACTATAGTATAATATAAATTTACTAATAATTTTGTTTTACTAGACTTGAAAAAGTACCAATCACAAATTTTAATAAAGTACTATTAATACTAATTGGCAATTACTATTATTATTTCTAAGTTATAATAATATTCTTTATTTTTTGAAAAGATTTTGATCTATTTAGATTTGGAATTGAGCATTTTAAAAATTATATCAAAAGAAGATATAGTAAATCAAGTATCTTGTTTAGTATTCAATGACTAATAATCAAAAGCTCTTACTTC